TCGATATTGCTCTGTTCTTCCTGGAGATATTCCAGAAGAAGAAGATTCTGTTGTAAACCCGACAGCAGGGTGAGTAGCATTAGCAGCAACTGCGCCATTGTTGTTGATATACTGGTCGCGCATGCGTGTTTAGAGGCGACGCTATGACGCATGCGTGTAAAAAAATATGCGGTTAGAGCGTAAAGATGGAAACGCGAAAAACGGCGTTTCGAAATCTTCCCACTCTGAAGGCTGAATAAAAAAAAGATTGTTTACAGACCCCCGAAACGCCGGCTTCGTGTGGATGAGAGGCTGGTTTGGTGAAAAATTTGTGCGTTTAGGCCAGGGTTCGTCTTCGTGTGGACGGGGCCTTAAAGATGTCGCCAGGAGAAACCCTGGTGTCTCTTGATGTTACTTCTCTTTTCACATGCATACCTACATCAGAGGCAGGGGTAACAGTGAGGGAACATCTTCAACAAGACAGTGACCTAAACAACAGGACAAATTTCACTCTGATCTGCACCCTACTGGGCCTTTGTCTTTCCACAACCTAAGAAGCATGATTGTGCCATGGGATCTCCTGTGTCACCAATTGTAGCTAATCTTTACACGAAAGAAATGGAAAATAGAGCTTTGGACACTTTCAGAGGAACCCCAAGCCATTGGTTTAGATATGTGCATGACACATTCATCAAAATCCAGCTAAAAGAAGTGGAAACTTTCACAAGACACATCAACTCAGTTGACCACAACATCATTGTGAGCATTGAAGGAGATGAAAACCTCAACATTGATGTGTATATGAAATCCCCTCACACAGACCAATATCTTCTTTTGGACTCACACAACCCACTGGAATACAAACGTTCAGTCATCAGAACCTTACAACATCATGCTGAGCATGCCCCTTCTAAAACAGAAGGGAAGCACAAAGAACAGAAACACATCAAAGATGAGGTTTGAGGCAAACTGGCCGTTTGTCAAATCAGCAAGGAAATCCAAAAGACACGCAGTAGAACCTAATGGTGAGAAGATTAAACATAAAAATATCGCCATCCCATATGTTGCTGGAGTCTCTGGAAAACTCAAGAGGATTTTCTCCAAACACAAAATCCCAGACTCTTAAATAGACTTAAAGACTCTTAAATAGAGACTAGTGCATTCTAAAGACAAAACCCCCAGACCAAACATGAGCGGAGTGGTGTATGCAGTTCAATGCAGTGAGGAATTATCTGATCTTTATACTGGAGAAACGAAACAACCTCTCCACAGATGCATGGCCCAACACATAAGAGAGACCGCCTCCGGACAAGACTTACATTTCTAAGTACATTTCAACCTTATGGACAAAGGACATTCTATTGAGGACCAGAACGTTCACATTTTGGACAAAGAACATAGGATGTTTGAGAGGGGTGTGAAGGAAGCCATCTATGTTAAGAAAGAAAAACAAACCTTAAACAGAGGGAGTGGACTCAGATTTCAAAAACCTACAATTCAGAGATTGAGTTGATTCCTTCCTGCTATCTTTGCAACCCCCACCTCATTACAGGGGAACAGAGCACCTTGCCTGTTCAGTCAGGCCAACAATTCCCTCTAACGACCCCCTTTCAGAGACATATACAGGTTCCGGGTATTACAGGCTAACAAAGAAACCAAACAACCAACATTTTTATTTCTAACATTTTGAGTTGAAAAAGCTTCCTGTATGGGAAGCGAAGCATCTTCAAACTTGGAGACAAAGGCTACGTTCACACTGCAGGCCTTGATGCTCAATTCTTTTTCACAATTTTTTTGTGAAATCCAATTTTTTTGCGTTGCCGTTCACATTTCCAAATATATGCAACTTGTATGTGATCTCCTCTGTGAGCTGTAGTCATACAATGCATGAGTCCTGCATGCGTAGTAGAGGAGGCAATGACGTCATAGGCCAGCATGCTCTGTGTTTACAGAAGTAAACATGGATGTTAGTGCCGGTATGCATCTAGCGACCTTTCCCAACCATAAAAACACAATCGTTTCAAGATGGTTAAACATAAATACTGCTCTCCGCATCATCGTCCGCCATGGTTGTTGTTTTTCTTGCCTCTTCTTCTTAGCAAGACCCAAAATAGTGACCTTTGTCGGGTATTAATGGCGTTCAGGTCGGATGAATGCGACATGGCCGTTCAGACACAGGTCATATTTGGAAAGATCAGATTCGTATCGGATTCAGGACCACATGGCCAAGTGGCCTGGGTCGCATTGGAAAAAATCGGAATTGTGTTGTTGAGACTGCCACGAAAAGATGCATATGGGCCAAAAAAATCGGATTTGGGTCACTTCAGTCTGCAGTGTGAATGTAGCCAAAGTCCAGTGGATTGTTTTTTAACTTTTTTGGAATGACTATGATCTGGATGACTGAGAATCTTCACCAGCAGAACAAAAAGTTAAATAGTTAAAAGAAAAACAAATTGATTATGAAAAACGGGAACATGTAATTGAATTAGCCCGAAGGCCTTTCAGTTTCAAAGTTAAAACTGTCAGTGACATACTGTGAGTTCAGTTAATTTAAAGTTTTTTTGGAGCAAGTTCCAGAAGGAGGTTGTTTAGTGAAAAAAGGCTTTGATTTCCAATTCATTCTGACCAAACAGGACAGAAAAAAAGCAGCATATAATTTGTGTGAAGTCAATTTCTCATTGTAACTACAGAGCAGATATAGGCTGGAAGCTGTCCAAGTAATGCCTTGTAAATAAAGCAATAACAATAGCAACCCTTTTAGCAGCCTTTATAAATATAAGGTTAGGTTACATACTGGCTAAGTTTAAAAAACATTAGCAATGAAATCTTGGTTTTAAAAAATCATACAATGTTTATTGTAATGTGAATAATTATGCTGGTTTAGTCAATCTAAATCCAACATTTCCTAACTTAGTGGTAGCACTGATAAAGTCAACCTAGCTGGAAAATGTGTCCTCTAAGAAGCAGTTGTTGCTATTGGCAGTACATCTAAGCTGTGGTTGTCAGGGTAAAACTTACACATTGCATCTTATAAGAATGGTTTAAACTATTTATGTCCATGCTCTAGTTATGTAGAAAAGTGCTAATGCTGTTGTCATGTTTGCTAATTAGCTAAGCTTCTTAACCCCAAAGTGGTTCCCAGCTAACTAGAGGAGGTAAATGTATAAACAAAGGAGTGGCTTTGAATCTTTAGTGTGTAGAGTTTTCTTTTACAAATTTTAATGAATGAAAATCAGACTTTTGTAATTTGAATGCCACTCTTTTCTCTGGCACATCCACAAACCCTGTTCAAACCACATAGCAAATATATATTCAATTTATTATTTGCAAGAAAAAAAAAAAAAAAAAAAAATATATATATATATATATATATATATATATATATATATATATATATATATATATATATATATATATATATATATATATATGTATACATATGTAAAACATATATAAAACTACAATTCTGCATTTAAAACCTCTGAAGGGGGATAAAAAGTGGCACATTTAAAATCAATTTTAAATGTCATTCATTTCTTGAAATTATTTAGATGAAATGCTCATGGCGAAAAAAAATTTCCCTGGAAATTGAGCTGCTTAACACTGATAATTACAAACGAACAACATATATTCACAGCTTCATATATTTGCAAACATATGTTAAACAACATATATTTGCAAATATTTTTCATGTATATTTCATATGTATTTTATGGCATTCTATTATATTGTGCCTTAATGACGACCATTCTTCTCTTTTTTTAAGAACAATTAAATTAGAATAAATGTTTTTTGTTTGCAATGTAAAACATTCAGCTAAAAAAGTCTGTTTTAGCTGTTAAAATTACAAAATATATTTACAAAGTATTAATATCTACCCTAATTTTTTGTTAAAATAAAAAATAAAAATTCTTTAATACATAGATAATGATGAAAAATTTACCCACTATGCTCATCATGTAATCGGTATATTCTGTATCAGCCTCTAAAGTTTACCCTATTTGCAAAAAACAAGTGTCAAATGAAAGTTTACATTTATATTACTTCATTCATGCATTCGTGTCACAGAGACTACGCATGTTTTCTGTTTAGAACACAAAACATCAGGACCCCATAGCCAAAAAAATCCCAAACTCAGCCTCAGACACTCTCCGGAAGGGATGTTTGATTATTCATGAGTCTTCCTCAAATTTAGAAAGCAAAAGCAGGAGCCAAATAAACCTCCATGATCCGTCTCATGCAGACACACTCATCCAGCACTTTCACTGCTCCGTACTTCTTATATAACTCCTCTGACATCACACTTCTCGTGCAGCAACCCATGTGTGACAAGTGCTCTTCTACCTTTTGGTGAACCATTTCAAATGATGCTCTTATATCTCTATTTGTATTTTGGGCTATGTTATAGAAATCCATTTGAAATATTTACCATTGTGTGTATTTTTTTAACAGAAATGATTTGCATGCACAGCTGTGATTTTTAATATAATGCATGTAGCTTTAGAGAAAACACTCACTTGTTACACTATACTGTATAAATAGACATTTAAAAAGTCAATGATCTTTTTACCTGCCTTGACAGATTGCCTGAAGTGCCACTTAGGAAGGATCAACTACGCTGATAGCATAATAACAACATCCTCTTGTAAAAAAAGAAAGAAAAAAAAAACATTTTGCAGAGAAATTTAATCAGCTGCAGCAGAATACACACTAACACCCTCGAAACTCCTCTTCTGCATTTGGGAGACTGCATAAGAAAGTATAGTGGGTGTATGGGAGCATGAGAGAGAAAGAGATAGAGAAGGAGAGAGAAAGAGAGTCAGCAGGGGCAGCGTGTGCGTGCAGCGGTGGAGGGAAGAGAAAAAAGAATCCGTATTCTGAATGCACTGATGGAGACACTGTGGAGGCAGTGACGTCGCCAGAATAATCACAGGTTGGCAAAGCACTCATGAGACATCTGGGACAAGAAAAGCTCCCCCTATTCTGTTTCTTTTTTTTTTTTTTAAACACAGGCCACTTACTTGATGTAGCAGTCACGCCCCTCTCTGATGGTGCCCATGTCCCATCCATTTGGGGGTCCTTGAGAACCACTCCAGGTCCCTGAAGGTGGTGGCCAACCTGAAGATTTGGTCCTGTGGCTGAATATTTTCAAAACATGGAAATATAAAAAAAAAAAATGTAGAATCATATAAATACACCAAGAAATTGTGCAGAGTGTTTAAACTTGAAAAGGTAATGATATTATCCAGTTATTATAAAAATGTGGCAACATCCATATCCCACAATAGACAAACTGCGCTGGGATGAAATGAGTCAAGTCAAGTGACAAGGGGGTTGTCCGATTCAGATGTGACAAACAATGTTCCATAGGCGCAGTTCAGTGAATACGAATCAAATTAATTACATAAGCTGGATTCACAGCCAGAGTTGTCATGCCTCACTCTTATGCTTGAGAGGCATGGAATTGGCTTTATTTTTGGACATAAGAAGAGTCTTTAAGAATAAAGCTCAGATACATCTTCTACTTAATCACTTCTACTTAATTGTAAAACAATCTGATTTCTAGGCAAATAAGAAGCTATTAACTTTAACTAAAAATATAGTAGTTATCCAAAAGCTATCATGTAATCTTCTGGTGTTAGTAACAAAATCGGCCTCTGTAGAGCCATTTCTTTGTGCTGGAAGTCCACAGAGTCAAGGTTTTCCAGACAACAGGGATTGGATAAAGGGTTTTCATCTCTTTTTTCCATGAAGCCCCTCCTTACCTACCCGTATTACTGCCTTTGTGTCTGCACAGTGGTTATGCCATGAAAGTGGTGGCAGAAAGTTATGTCACTTCAAAGGGTTGTCTGCTATGTAACAGGGCTCTTCGCATTCATTATTCAAAGCTCCTCTTTCTTTCCCTCTAAAATGTTTCCCAAGTTACTGTACCGATGATAATGAATTGTGTGCAGTTGTCTTGTATATTTACATTAGAGTGTGTCTCAGTGTCTGTATTTGTGTTCATATAGCACCTTATTAGACATATATATATAAACCCTCAGTATTATCATGTTTAAGATAATATTCAAAACTCTGGGAACGTTGCTAAAATAGATAAATTACTTAAATGGCATTGACCATTAAAAAGGAAAAGGAAACACATAGGAGATGAATTAAACTTATTTTTTTGCATTAAAAAAGTAATGTAGTGAAATGAGCTCTGTTTTGTTCGTATGTTTGCATCCCCATTTGGTTGCTGAAGGATATAGTAACATGACTTGAGTTACTTGCACGGTCAGAACCAAGAAACCCTTTTCACAGCTAAAAATGTTACCACAATATCATCTACTTTTAAATAAAATTTCTGCTTATGCAAACAAGTTGAGCTATAATGCCTATTAATGTACACACTAGTATAAACATTGAGTACAACTTGCTGCAAGAACTTAAAGTAGTAATGCACTGTACGATTCTTTTAGGGCTGTGTTATTTTATTTTTCATCTAGATTGTGTAAAATGTGTAAGATAAGCCTGACGGGTAAGCTGAAAGATGAGTTCACTCTGGTAAATGAGTTTTAGAACAAGTTCTTGTCTTCCATGTTAATGGAACATCAGTAACCCTTTAAATTACTAGTTATTATTAGTCCGGCAACAGAGCTAGCTGCTTATTGGAAGTTAGATAACTAGTTACTCACAGGAGTCACTTTATTTTAGGTTGTTGGAAAGAAATTATGAGATGCAGTACCCGGAGTAAATAAGAGATATTAGAAGGGCATGCTAGTTGTGTATTTGAAATGACAGTGGCATAAAAGAAAAAAATAGATAAAATTTACTTATCTTGTTTGAATTCATTTAAAATATTTAAAGAAACCGTGTGCTTTAAGATAAATATGTTTGTTTATTTAAAAACCCATGGGGCTACAGGTAATACGACACCCAATTTACACTGTGAGTCTTCACTGCTAACTTCTTTGCCAGCTTAATTTACACTGCCTCTGTTTTGCTCTGCTGTGGTAGAAAGCCCAGAGGTCATCTAAGTAGCACAGATTGCACAATATAGCTAGCCATAAAAGTATAAGTCATACCAGAACAAATCCTATTGATTTCAAATAATTCAAAACTGCTTCACTTTATTTTAACTAATCGTATTTTTTAATGGGTGAATACACTGAAAAAAGAGAAGCCGTACCTGTTGCTTATCTTAGTGCATTTTAAGTTTAATCGTTATACTTTGATCACCTCAGTTAATATATGCAACCCAGTAATTTCATTGTAATAATAATAATAATAATAATATGTTTTATTTGTAATGCACTTTACATTTAAGGAAAACAATCTCAAAGTGCTACAGGTAAAATCATCATAGAGGGGTAAATTCAAAATTTAAAACTAAACATCGCTTGTATGTCTGTAATTGCTAATTTAAAGATAAATATACCTGTGAATTGATCAATTAGGTGATCTTTAGTGAATTAGTTTTAAAATGAGGAAAGTTGTGATAATAATGTTCATGTTGGAGTGATGGGATTTCCATACATTTAACAAGGTCTTGCAGAGACAAAAATAAAATGTCATAAACTTTTGACAGTGCACTGTCTACTCTGCGCTGGTCTACATCACCATGCACTTACACGTTTTTACACCACTCCATGGTTCATTCAGTCATTGATTAAATGGCCAGGTGAAGTGTAAATTGGAAGCAACAGTCTGCAGTATGGAAATACCTTTGGCTTAATAAAACACACCATTGAGTGCATCCCTTTCTGATACCTAACTGACTAACTTAGAGATTTCAATGTACAAGGTTTTAAAAGGCTGAAGTCCCAAAACCTTAAATCTTAGTCAAGTCTAGACTCTTTGTCTGTCCAACATAAAAGAGGTCCCAAGCAGTTTGTAAGATGTTAACAGCTGAAGGTCCATTAAAAAAGTTGCTTTTCTCCATGATCAACCTTTTGAGTTGACTAAACAAAATTACAGATGCAGATACTAGTGTTTTCACATGGATATAGAATTATTTGACCCACAGTCCTTTAACTGCAAACAGGCTTTATAGTTTTATATTAAGAACAAGATCCAATGATGTCAGACACCATTAAATCAATGTCCAACCCTTTCATATGTCTCAGATCTAACATGCTAACTTGTGCATTGTTTGATGTTGCAGATACTAATACATGCAGGTACTTCCTAATAATTATTACATTTTCCCTAACTATAAGACAATACCATCACAGTTTTAGATTAGCATTCTTCCCAAAGTCTACAACATAATAAAATATACTTACATTTTCAAATGATGTCTCTTCAGGATCTATATGATAACGGAAAGACCACTCCAGAGTATCACTTTTCTGTTTCTCTGAGCCCCAATGTTTAGGTAATAACACTTTGGTCATAGACAGAAAGATCTTTGATTTCTTTTGTCTGCACATGGGAGGAGCAACATGCCACTGAGTCGCAGGATTCCATACTAAGAGGAGCTAGACTGGTTCACCCGCTGGTGGATAGTGAAACTGATCTTTTGCATCAAGCATTAATAAATAATACCTGAACAGTCACATCGGACTAAGTAATCAAGCTCTAAGTAGGCAAGCCATGCTACACAATTCATGAACAGGTTACCCAAGAATCGCAGGACCATTAGAAGTAAAAGGGGAGCTAAATGTAGGTCAGTAGGGAATTTAACTGCAATTTTTCTAAAAAAAAAAAAAAAAACAATGTGAAAAGCTTAAAGTTCTTAGGTGTGCAGAGTAAGGTATTTCTTTAGATTCTACTTGTTTCCTTAACTACTGGCAGCCAACCTGGAATCTTTAAAAGAGAATGAACCTTCTTGTAAGGAAATGAAAAATTAATAATATACAGAAGTACTATATTTTTGCTTTTGCAACAGCTATAAGCTTTTTATTATCTAAAAGTCAATATGAGCAGAGAAGGTTTGAATTCATTTATTTCATTTGCATATCTTAAGAAATATAAATATATGAGTAAATGCTTTGATTGTAGTGTTTGAGAAATGGGAAATATCATTTCTAAGCCCTTGATAAAAACATCATAATTATTGTATTATGCTTGTATTATGCTTCTGAAACAACAAGTTTGTTTTAAACCAGGTCTAAATGATTTTTGCCAAAACTCTAAATTCTGATTTTTTTCAATCAAAAGTGCAATGCAATTTTGTTTCAATTAACCTTTTTCACTCACCCAAAGTTTGTAAATGTTTCACCAAGGCTTTTAGTTTTTGAAAGCTTGTTTGCCCAGACTCCTTGTTGCAGGATTTTACCGTAACCATTGTGTGAAAAAATGTTTACTTCTACTTACACGCATGGATCTGTGAGCTACAGGAGCTGCAACTCTCTCTACCTTTCTGTGTGGTGACAAACCCACTTTTAGCACCACCTGAAGAGCTGGAGGGGGAATTTTAGTCTCTTACTCTCGTTACATACAGTATAGTGTGATTAAAAATCTGTGCCTCTTCGATTTGGGTATTGATTGACTGTATTGATCTCACAATGGAGAAATATACTCATCACATCTGCTCACATAGTCAAAGAAGAATGTGCCAAAGGAAGATTTGAGAATTGCGGGTTTTTTTTAAATTGAGATTGTATTGCAAATGTAGTTAAGTGCCCAGCCCTATTTTAGACCTCCATCTTTTTAAACACATGCATTATCACAGACTAACATTCTGCTCTAATGTATGGAAGTCCTGATCTTGACGGATGTGATGATGCATTACAGAGAAGGCCACTGCATAGAGGAGCAACATTCCAACACAAACACTCAATGTAGTATGAATAATTCACACCGACAATCTCTACAGCGCCTGGCCACAAAAAAATCCCGTTCCGGCAGAAAATATCTGCCATTAACCCACTGAGAATGTAAATAAGCTGCTCTTTCATGAGGTATTCAGAGCATTATTTCCTTTGACAAGTCCTTTGCGTCAGTGACTTCCATCTGCACGTGGCTGCAAGAGATGTTTATGTGCTAATTGCCAGGGGACCAAACCATGAATTTCCTTTTAAGTTTCCCAGCATGCACTTGGGAAGGACAAGGGAAAAGCCTCAGGCCAAGAAGCCATAACAATTGTGCTATTAGTTTGCATAGCAATTATGTCTGAAAGATGAAGTTACTGTCTTCTCATGTATTTAGTTTT